TCACATGTATTTGTCACCAGATACTTAATTAAATTCATTTACACATCAACGCGCCTACGAAATTTGAACGGCGCCATGACACCCGGCGAGCTCGTCTGCCACCCTGAAAAAGTGTGCGTATTTGCAGTTTTTATTTTGCAGGTAAATGACCGAGGGCTAATCACAAACAGTGCAATTAATATTTATACCTAAATGCTATTTAACGAACGATATTTATTTTATGGGCAAATTTTATCCATATTATAACTGAAACTATATGTCGTTTATAAGATATTTACAATCGTTTTGCTTTTAAATGAATAAATAGAAAATACCCTCGGTCTGTAGCCTTGGCTGGAAAGTGGTTTTTGCGCCAACTCTCAGATCGTGCGCTTCTGAGTGGCGCCACCGTCGTTGTAATCAAACTGGTAGTCGTTAGTTTTAAAACATTTTTTAAAAATATTTTTAATGCGTGATTGAACATGAAACTTTTTATGTAGCGCAATTAACCTAAATTAGCTGAAAATAACCCTAGAACTACAGAGGCCTACTGTTCCTTTAAATGTACACAGAGCAGACACGCAGTCTGTGGGTGACAGAGCCATTTATACAGCATTTCAATCAACTATCTGGACAAATCTGTACAATAAAATGCTGAGCCTCCCAATGCGTTAAAATAGCAATGGTTTAACTTTAATGTATTTTATCAGGACGGTTTTGTCCTGCATGCAATTTTTCTTTCATAGTAAAATTTAGTCCTACCCTGTACGCGATTACTTAGATTTGACGCGGATTTGCTCATTTGGAAGCGAACAAATCCATACGGAGTAGTTATCAAACTGGGGAAATTGAGCCCTGCATTGTGTAGGAGAGGTGCACATTTCCACTTCAAAATTTTGCCAAATTCCGTTTCAGAGATTACTAAATTCCACTTCAATTCCGTTTCAGCAAATTTCTACATTTTAATCAGAAATAATTAAAAATTAAGAGAAAACATTGATGGATGCCTGTTTTTTCTGTTTTGTAATTTTTTTTGGATCTGCTAATTTCTTTTGGAGGGTTAAAGTGTCATGAACTGTAAGCATAAGGTTTTCATAATCCATTTGTGTGCGTTGCGGAGTGATTTGAGCTGTTTTAAAGGTTATTTTTGCAGCTTGTTTTGGGATGTTATTTTATGAGCTGAAACTTCGGTGAATTCAACGCTCCAGAGGGTGTTCACTGTCTTTGTGTTGTTCTTGTTGGATCCTGTTGTGCTGAATTTCCGTCCCATTTTTCGTTTTTATGGAAATCGGTGCAGTCCTTACATGGTGCTCCAACTTGTGCGGGGCGCTTTATTGTCGTCAATTCAGTGCTCAGCGGCGTGTTTACTTCATACTGTCACTTCTGAGCTGGCTAGTGCTGTTATTTCTGCTATTGATTCGTGCGCGTGCCTGTTGCACGTAGGAATTGTGTACATGTACGCGTACTATTTCGTTGTGTTGTGTTGTTTTGGTGCCCTGTACGCTCGTGGTGGCTCTATGCTTTTAGTTCAAATTGTTAAGTCTGTTTGCGCTATCGGTGGGTGCACACTCGGTGGTGGGTATCCTGTGCTGTCGTCGCGTATGCTCGGTCTGGCTCTGCGACTTGATTGTGCCTATGGTGTCGCGTGTGCGTTGGACCTGCCCTGTCGAGCGTGCCTACGTAGACCCGTAGGATTATAGAACGGTAATCCACTGGCGAAATGCGTAATATGAAATTCACACGTATATCTTTGCGTGCCGGCACATTCGCTGTGTCATTCGCCGATAGTACTTTTCGACTCCAATTCCGGCTACGCCCCCAGTAAAGCGATTCATTGCGAGTTTTTTGTCAGCGTTTTTAGTGTTTTATTCTTACTTTCATGATGCCCTACCGTTGTTGCTTGAGTTAACACGTAATGTTGAAATAATAAATAACAAATTCGTTTAAGAACCGCATGCAAAGGACAAATCATGCACCCCGATTACAATTTTTGCGTTCTCTCTGTTGATCTTTTGCGTCAGCTCTCGCACTTTCTCGCGGTACCTGCGAGACGTCATCAAGGTGTACAGTAATGCAAATTCGACGGAGCATATCTCTTGGCGTCAGCATGTTAAACACAGATCGAGCGTCGTGCATAATAAAGTAGCGTAACACAAACAAGAGTGTAGGTATAGACGATTTGTTATACAGTAAGTACAGTTGTATGCAGTAAAATCCTAGAGGCTACTGTCCCTTTAATGATTTTAAGACAAAATTGACTAAGAAGTTGCTGAGGTGGAAGGAGCACTGTAACGACAAGTTCTTTTTATGTAATCCGTACGGATTTCCTTTAGGTTTCCTCATGAAATCTGTAACAAATCCGTATTACCGGATTACCTCTGAATTTCGAGCCCTGCGTGACATGCGCATAGAGTAAAACAGTGTAATATAGACTGTAATAGTTTATGCTACAAGTGCGCGCTGTGACTACAGCTACGTTCACACGAGATTCATGGCCTTGCTGGTTCCGTACTTATCTGGTGCTGAATTCGGCTGAAATACCGTGCTAACACAACCCGCAGCGTTCACACGAGAATCGAGGCTTAGCTGGCTAGGTATAATAGTAAATAATTTCTCGGTTAGACTTAGAGGGAAGTGTTTTTCATGATGGTGGCGCCCATGAAAGTCAGTTGTTTGTGGCAGTTTTTCAGTAAAATTACACAAAATTATGATCCAGATGAACATTACGAATGCTTTGGTGATGACGATTATCAAAAGGAAATTCGGAGAAATATTTTCAATGGCATGAGCCTTAAGTGAAAAACGACACTCCGGCGCCTAGTATCAATGTAGCGCACTACAGTTTCACAGCTTACGAGGCCTCAAATTGCGTTCACACGACTGACAATACGCGGCCAGCGTGGTGCCGTTGTTTCAGCGCGGAATCACTTTCCGCGCCGAATAAGCTTCGTATTTCAGTACGGTACTTGGGAAGCCGCGTATAAGTCTTGAATATTTTTACCGTGTGAACGCTCAGTACAGTACTGAAATCCTCATGTGAACGCAGCTTACACGTACGTCGTCCCGTTCGACAGTGCAGTGCAGTTGCATTTTGCTTTGTTTGTGTTTTTTCTTGCTTTGATATTTCAAACCTGTCGGCCCAAAACTCAAAACCTGTTGGGCCAACAGTGGTGGCCTTACATGTTAAAACCCCTCGTGGACCACACTGGCTAACATATCAAAGGAAAAAAAGGGTCCCTGGAATTTAAAAAAAAATTATATTTTATAAGTTATATGGCTCTTTGTTTACGAAATTGTTGCGGTTTGAAAATCACTACAAATTTTCGTACATCTTTTCAACTTATTTCCTAAAAATTTTAAAGCATTTAAAAAAATTCCAGGAACCCTTTTTTAGTTCATATTATGAACAACTTATGGTTAAAAGTTTAGGTCCCAACTCTTCGCTGTTTCTCAGAAATAAAAAAAAAAGCATTTTTTGTATAAATTCACAACTT